GCTCTCCTGAAGCGGTTGTTGCAGAGCTGTGAGGCTCCCTCGCTCGTGGCGTAGTGCCCGAGGGAAAGGGAGGGTGTCTCCTCCCTGTTTTTTAGATCGAGTCCTATAGCCCTTCTCTGCGGTGGCCTCTGTTAGGTGTGTAAAAAGGCTGCGGGCCTGGAGCGGGAGTTGTGTTCCTGCGGAGGCTGCAGGCGTTCCTTCCTGAGGTAAATGCTGCCTTTCCTCCTGCCCCCTTCAGGCGTGTGCGTTATGGTCGGAACTGAGGGAACTGAAGAAAATGTGGAAAGCGCTTGTAAACTATGTTGAAGGCAAGACACGATTGTTTTGATTTTTTGTGTGGCAGTAGCATTTGCAGGTCTGAGAGATGTTTCTTCCCTCACACTACAGCAGGATGTGGTCATCCTGTTTCCTAATGTTTTCCATATCTTTTATTGTTTCCACGTTCTAAAACACGCAACACTGCAACAGATGATGTTTGAAACATGATGTGTGTATACTCCTACCAAGTAATAAATGAGATTATTTAGGTAACAAGCCCAACAGAGTGCAAACATTTATCTTTAAGGAATCCGTAGACAAAGAATGTAGGCTGGAAATACTTGTCATAGGCTAAGATAGGTGGATGGTCTGTCTCTCCTCCTTCTTCCCTCTGACGGAGAAGTGGGGTAGGATTTTGTAAGAAAAGAGTCTACTTGGCCACGGCCAAGACTCATTAAATTCTAAATCCATGTTGAAACATTAAGTAAGTGTTGTAATTTTTAAGATTTCACTAGAAACTGCCTCCACTGGATGAAAACGTTTGGAAATTAAAGATCCTTCCTCAATTTTGCTACACTTAATGATGTTGGGAGAACAGTACGTTTCTGTGAGTTATGTAAGAATTTGCACCTAAAGTATGACCTTTGATATCTAAGTGTTCATGCTCATTGCTGTCTGCTTTTGCATAACACTGCAAACTTGTATGCAGTTTTTTGGAGTAATTTGTCAGATGCAGGTGGTGATAGCACCAGTTTTGTAAGTAGTGCACTGTATAAGAAAGTTAAGGTTTCTTTAACTTTAGTAGCTATATCTAAAATTCATGCTTGTGCCAAACTTTATGTTCTTATAGGTTAATCCCAGAGATTTGGAAAATTTTCCTCTCTTTATATGTGAGGTTCTTTTTTCTTCTTGTTTAGGAACCAGAAGTGCTGAAGCGACTGTAGCATAATCTTTCTTGGAAATAAAAACTGGTTTAAGTTGTTGGGGCCTGTGCCTATCATTGTGCTAGAGTTTTTGAAGTTTGATTTTGGTGGATCACAAACATTGCAGAGTCGTGCTCATAAAATGTTTGTTTAGCTCTTGGCTGTTCTGAAATTTGCCAAAAACCCCTGTCATTTTTGATTTGTGAAGACTAAGACAATCACATTCTAGAAAGACACATAATGGTAGCATCTTGTCCTTGCTACTATCATGAACCAAATTTGAATTGATAATCTAGAGGTAAAGGTTTCTGTTTCACGTTCATCTCAGTTGCTGTAGTGCTGTTGATACAGTGACATATACTAATGACCTCAGTAATGTACCTAGACCTGAGTGAAGTCAATGACTGCAGGTAATGCTAATTTAACAAATTAAAAAAAAAAAAAAAAGTTGTGAGGGATTTGTGTGAATAACACAAAAAGAGCTGAGAACACTGAGGAGCTGGATTCCAGTTGATACATATCTGTCGTTAGAGTTGTGCCTTTGGTTACAATGACTGCTTGCCATGGCCCTCAACATCACAAAGTATTATTCTCCAGTTCTGTGACTGACAGCATTGAAACTGCAACTTTATTGTTAATCTGCAAGTGTAGATCAGTTCAGGCGTTGCAACAGTAATGACAAGGAAACATTTGTTTCACACAAAAGAAAAATGTGTTCAGGTTGTTATAAAGGGTGAAAGCTGTAAATAATGCTTTATCCTAAATTTTAATTATGAGAAAGCAAAATATTGAAAGCAAGAATAACTTGTTGGAAACTAAGCTTCCATTAATCCTTTTCATTGTTTTTGGACAAAACCATAAAGAGACTTGCTTATGGTAGAAGAGGTTACTGGTAGAAAAAAGACATATGTTTAGCAGCAGTTTTGGTTATGACAGAATTAACAGATACTTCATGGAATGTCTGTGGGTTGTACTGTGTCGCTTTTGCCCTCTGATGCAGGTCTTTAGTAACATCACTGTTAATTTCCCAATGCGTTCCTAGATGTCTTTGGTTTCAGTAAGAATTTATATCACCTGAAGAGTGTAACAGTAGCGGGAAAAAAAGATTGTGAAAAGGACTTGATGTCTCTCTTTTCATGCTGTTTCAGCCTTACTTGACTTTGTGATCAACATCTACTTTTCTGCACTGGAAGAGGAGAAAGAATCAGTAGTTGTTAACAAGTATCTTCATATATTACAATGAAACAAATTACTACTTTCTCACATTAATACTTTCCTAATCTCACTTTGTCATGTTGCTAAGCTTTCTGTTGCCTCAAGAAAGAAATGTATTCAGATTTATGAGAATCATAATCAAGAGTCTCTATCTTAGAAAGTAATTGCTCTTATGACAACGATTGAAAGAAAACTAAGGGAGTGGTAGGCAACACTGAAATGACTTGACTCCCAGCACCTCCATTTCAAAGAGTCCATTCAAAATGTGGAAGATGGCATTACTCGTCTACCAGTTGATGCCTCAAGCTTTGACCTGTCTTAAAATGAACAAACAAACAATAAAAAAAAAAAACAAACAAAAAACCCCCCACAGATAGCCTTTCCACATGTACTTAGAAGTATGGCCTTAGCCATACTTCAGCCAAGATTGCTGAAGACAACAGAACTAGAACTTAAAAAAGGTAATTCTACATAAATTACATAAAATTGGAGCTATTGCATAAAAAAGAAGCCACATTTTGTGCACAGATTAAAATTGGCATAATGTTAAATTTGAAAGTTTAAATTATCCTCTGAGTGATACGGTTGCAGTAGGAGCATTTACGGTAGCTTATGGGTCTGCCATTTCAGTGAATCTGTCACTACTTTCTCCTTCATTTTATATGATGTATTGTAGTTCATTGTAGTTTTGCAGTTCAAGTTACAGATGGAGGAGAATTTAATGTGAATTTTGATATCCGTAGATAAGCCATGTCTGCTTCACGTGTGGGGCACCTGCCTAAGAGAGATGCACGCCTAACTCCAACAGGAATTGGAAGATTACAAGGTTTGTACAAGCTGCTGTTTATTACAGTGACAGACTTTGATCAGTGGCTTCGTTAGTTTCTTTCTAAAAATGTTTCTGGCATTCCCACTCACAAAATTAAGTTAATTAAATTCTGAAAGATACTATGACCCATTCTAATTTCACGTTGCTTGTTATAAGAGGGGAGTTGCTCTGAGATTAGAAAAACTGGAAATCTTACTGAGCTGTAGTGTTCATCCTTCCAGAAAAAAAGAGGACTTTTTTGCTGAGTTGAGAGCAAGGCCAGACCTGTTTGACAAAATGGGAACCAAAAGTACTAATCAATTCTGATATGTTACTCAGCTGCTATTAGAACAGAACTACTGGGCTTAGTCGTGTATCTGAGTAAATTTACAGAATTATGAGTTAATCTTTTCAAGCTTCAAGAAAGTATGTTAACTTTGAAACAGATTAGAAAGCATCTCTGTGCTAATGATCATCTTATTTAAGTAGTATGTTTGACAGTACCTTGTTACTTGCTAAACTGTTTCCTTTTTGTTGTCTAGTAAGTAATCAGTTTGGTGTGTCATTTGTGTTCCTTTATCTGTAAGAGGGAGGAAAAAGGAAGTGATTGTTAATATTGTGCGAATAAAAGTGAAAAAAAAATAATCAACAGATTCATAAAAGTGTAAAAATATCAAATTACTTGAAAACTTTATTTTTTTTTCAGTATTTCAAAATGAGTTAGATTTTGGGTTACATGTTGTTCAATATATTGAAGATAATTTAAAGTTGTCTTGGTTTGGGTAGGATCTTCAACTCCACAGGATGGTAGAGCTCAACGAGCTGTATCACAAATGAGTCGAGCGGAACTGGAAGACAGATTTCTTCGGTTACATGATGAGACCCTCTTAGTGAAACAGTATGCAAATGAGCAAGGGGAGAAACTTAAAAGGTATGGGGTTTAATGTTTTTATTTTAGTTCACAATAACATTTTTGCCCTTTAAAGCATTATCAACAAATTTAAAATTATGCTGATTTATCTCAGAGCACTTTTTAAAGCAGTAGCAAAAGTCATGTATTGGAATTCATTTTTGTATTGATTTCTGGTTGTCTCTGTGGAATGTGGCATATTTTATGCTGTGGACAGTATTAGATCTCCATGTAGACGGGTATGTCGCTGCCCACTACTTTGGAGATGGTACCTTGGGTTCATAGATATGCTGTCTGGGTACAAATACAACAGGTGTTCTAGGAACTGAAGAAGAGGCTATAGAAGCCTAATTATTCATTAGGAAATTTGTCCTAGAATCAAAATGGCCTATACAGAGGGATTCTGCCCCTTTTTTTGTCCTTCTCTCTCATCCAAGAAGTTGACTTAAACCTAAAGTGTATTTGTAATTATGATCAACTCTTCTTTGTGCAGGGTAATAGATAACTTAATTGAAGAAGTCCCAGGCAGCATGGGGAGCGCAGTATCCAGTGTACCCTAACATATGCAAGCAACTTCAGGCTTATTATTAAACTTAGTGCTGCGCTGGCAAACCTATCGAACCCATCTGGACTCAGCAGAACTGTTCACGGTATTGCTGTATTCCAGGAGGGCTAATGAATCCAAAAGCACTGTGACATCATGCTGCCCACTTGAGCTAATAAATTCTTGCTGCATCTAAACTAGTTAGTCCATCTCTAGATGGGACTATTTTGTACTTTTCTAAAGTCCAAAACATTCTTTCCTTTTGACTCACTATTCAGCAAGTCTGGATCAAATTGACCAGCATGGCATAACTTTCATCTTTTCTGTCAGGCTACTGTCAAATACAAGATGGTGGAACAAATGAGTTGTTTGCTTATTCCAAATGGCATTTCCTGTGTTTCTGTTAGATGACTTATCAAATGCACTCATCCTCCACTTAGGTAAGATTACACAATGTCCAAACTGGAATAGCTGAATTAGTATTTTAAGGCACAGAAAATATAAAATACAGTGTTTGTCTACATTGCCAGACAAAAAGCTTAACTCCTCAGGCTAATTTTCTTTCCCAGCATCCCTCATGCCAAAACCCTTGTAACTAAAAGTTTGGAATGCATTTGTAGTAGAAGCACATTGAAAAAAACAAATAAACAAAAAACCTTCTTGCAGGCAAGTAACATTCTGTGACATCCTAAAGTTATTACAGATTTTTTTTGTTTCACTTTTGTTCTTTTAAGTAGAAGCTTCTGTCCACAAGTATACAAAAATAAAACAAACCCCTTTAAATGAATGAAGTGTGTCCTTATTTTCAGTTTTCTTCTGGGCCTGCAAAAATAGATCCCCTGTAAACTAGATACTGGTGACCAATTTTGTAAAGTCTTGAACTTGTCTCTCTCATCAAAGCCACCTTTTCTTTCTTTATATGCCAAGTTTTTTTCCATTCACTTCTGGGTATGTTTTCTGTTCTTGTATATTACATCACCTCCATGTGCCCTCTCTGCCTTTTGTTCTGGCTTACCAATGTTTATCAAAACTAAAGGAAATCAAAGGTACAACTCTTGAGATGCCAAAAGCAAAATTAGTATCCTTTTAAAGATAGATGAAAACCATACCCTCTGTATCTAATTATATTCCTCAGCTAACTGTTCCTTCTCTGAAGCACATTAGTAATATTTACCAAGTATAAAATTGAGTATGGTAATGAGAACTATTAAGTCTCTTTTTCCAGAGTACCTTCTTAGATATCTCTATAGATATAGAGAGATAGAGATGGATTTTAGCCACTCTAGCACTGAAATATATATTTAAATCTTAAAATACTAGAAGTGATATGTCATTGGAATGTTGCATATTACTAGCATTCTTTCAATAGTTGAATGTTTTGTGGAATTGTAGCTTTTATAGTTTGCCCCACCACATCCCAAATCTGTAACTTTACTTAACAGCATGCAGAGGTTCCTATATAAGGTCATGCGTTAAAAATTACATTTAAGTAGCATATGGAGTAAATATGTGTCCTCCCTTTACTAACCTCAAATGATAAGCCTTAGGAAACTGTTATTTGTCAGTGCTATAAAGCAGATTGCTGCACAGTGGTTTCAATTATCTTCAAAGAGTTCTTCACAGGCAGTAATAGTTATATCAAAACCTGAAATTTATTATTCAGGTTCTATGCTGAAGTCTTCACAGTGATTATGTTCCTTTCAACAGAATGCTTTTTATGCTGACTTTTCACATTCTTTTTCATCTTTTTTTATTATTTTCCCCAGAACAACCACCAAGTTAAGGCGGCTTACTAATGAGAAAAAAAAGCCTGAACAGGTTAGTAGCGGCCCCGCGCGGCTGCATGAGGCTGTGAAGCTGGATGCAACGATTAAGCATTTTCAAGAAAGAATTAATGAGCTTGAGGAACAAAATGCAAGCCTCCAGAACAAACTCAAAGCTACACAACAGGCCCAGTTTCAAAGCCGTAGTCCTTGTCGGTGCAGCTGTGTTCAACCTCCTATTACCAGTGCTCTCAAAAAAGCAAGTGAGACTGCTGACACGCCGGAGCGCACAAAGAAAGGTATAACTCACCTTTATTGAAAAGTGTTTTATATAGGTACTGCTAATTTTTCCTTCACTGTAGCAAGTATGTAGTCTTTTGTGTTCATCAGTGGGCAGTAGTACCTGTATGCAGAAAGGTTGCTCTTCCCCCTTTTTCTTGTGTTTGTTTATAACAGTCATGATAACTTGTTTGCCTTTAAAGTCCTTATTTTGGGAATCCACGGTGGTAGGGGTAAAACAGGAAGTACAGATTTGAAAATAAAGCAGTTATCAAGCAAGTTTTCTGGTAGCTAAAATCATGGGACTTTCTTACTGTAACTTCTATACACGTTAAAGGCTTGAAAAGAAGTATGTGAAAAAGTTTAGTGTCAATCATATTATAACAAAGTTTTACATCTGTCGTTTGTTTGCACATGTTTTTCCTTTTTTAATTTTATAGAATCATAGAATCATAGAATGGTTTGGGTTGGAAAGGACCTTAAAGATCATCAAGTTCCAATGCCTCTGCCATGGGCAGGGACACCCTCCACTAGCCCAGGTTGCTCAAAGCCTCATCCAGCCTGGCCTTGAACCCCTCCAGGGATGGGGCATCCACAGCTTCTCTAGGCAACCTGGGCCACTGCCTCACCACCCTCACAGTGAAAAATTTCTTCTTAATGTCTAGTCTAAATCTTCCCTCTTTCAGCTTATACCCATTATCCCTTGTCCTCTCACTACACTCCCTGATAAAGAGTGCCTCCCCATGTCTCCTGTAGCCCCCTTCAGGTACTGGAAGGCTGCTATTAAGTCTCCTCAGAGCCTTCTCTTCTCCAGGCTGAACAACGCCAACTCTTTCAGTCTGTCCTTGTAGGGGAGGTGCTCCAGCCCTCTGACCAATTTCGTGGCCCTCCTCTGGACTCTCTCCAGCAGGTCCATGTCTTTTTTATGTTGGGGGCCCCACATCTGAACACAGTACTCCAGGTGGGGTGTCACGAGAGCAGAGGGGGAGAATCACCTCCTTTGACCTGCTGCTAATGCTTCTTTTGATGCAGCCCAGGACACGGGTGGCTTTCTGGGCTGCAAGGTTCTAATCTCTTGATACATATGTGCACAACACTGCAGACTTGAGAGTTATTACATGTGTGGACTTTTGAAAGAAAATACCACAATGCAGCTATCTTGAATGATGCTTTTCACTGTCAAGACTTACTGCTTAAGGCAGTCTCACTCTCAGTTCTTCATTTATGGTAGCTACATTTGAAAATTACACTTTCTATTTTCATATGAACTTGTGGAGAAGTAGTTGTACTCAGTTATACACTGTACAGATAATGTGTTTTGTAAACAAAAGTCAGCTATGTTGTCCCTGATTCAAAACTGAGTCAGCAGAATTGTCTCCATCAGGCTGATGGCCAGTTATAATGTATTTTTTCTTCATCTTACCCTCCCACTGGTCTTTATTTTGGTTACGTTGATATAGGTGTATAAAAACAGTAACAATTCTCATGTTTTCAGACAGGCAATAAAAAGCAATTGGCTCTACCACTTTGCTTCTTTCATTTGAATATAGTGAAAGTTTTGACATTTTAAATACACCTACATTTTCACACTTTATATCATGAATTAGGCAGTTTTATTCCCAAAATCAATTTTTTGTTTGTTTGTTCTAACAATGCAAAAATAGGGTAGAAATAGAATAAATTTATTCAGGGTCAGTGCTAGCAGAGAGAAAAGGGCAACTTGGTTTGAGGATTCAAAATCAAATGATGATATGGAATGCTGTGAGGACTTCTTTTGGCACAAGAACAGATCAAGATAAAAAGTGTCCTGTGCAGAAGTAGGATTGGGGCCATGTTGATTGAGGCAGTGGTTCTTAAAATGAAGAGAACATGAGGAAGGGGAAAAGAAGAGGAAAAGTTGCCCACAGAACACCCAGTTCAGATAATAAAGTTCAGAGATTTCACAGAAGTTCTAGTGTACCTATCTCAGTTCTAAGGCCTTGTCCAAACTAAATGGGATTCTGATAATTTGAGTGCCATGAACATGCTTCTCTAAGGTGAAGACTGTTATTTAAAATCTAGTAACCAATACTCAGAAACTGGACACAGTAGTGTTATCTTCCAGAAGGTCAGAGGATATCTTCTATGGTATTCATTAGCATAGGATGTTTCATGTTTTTTTCTCTTGCATATTTTCTCATCCTTCCCTTTTGATTGATGACGATAAAGCTAGCAGTCTGGTGTTGGGTGTGTGCCTTCTGTCTTTAAAGACTACTGGACTCTTGGATTGCTCTGTGGAACTGTAAGGCTGAATCTCAAAACATTTTTAGTGCAGATCAGAAAATATTCAGAGCAATTCTCTGAAAATAAAATGAGTGCCTGGAAAAATTCAGGAGAGCTTAGCTGTCTCGAGGGTGTGAAGAGGCAAGAAGAATCCACAAATAATAAATACAACTTACTGTATCTGCTTTGTGTTTGGCTGGTTTCAAATACCGTAGCACGTCAATCCAAAAGATGTGGTCAAGTATGAATGTTCACTGAATACTCACTGGTTTCTCTCATTACTCTATTGACTACAACTATCTAAGATATATCATGATTTGAAAAAAAATGAAGTATATACTCCAGGCATATATTTACACATATGTATATAGCACAGTTACCAATACCTTAAAATAATACTTAAACATCAAAATTCAAAATATATCAATAAATCAAGGTAACTCAGCACAAATGCAAAGTAGGTAACATTTTTTCGGTTGTTTTGTGAACCTGCTGGTGTCATACCTTAAACCTAAATGATGCCATTTTGGAGACTGAGAGATGGCAGCCTTAATGCTGTATTTGAAATTTAATGCATAGTTTGGTCCCACCTCAAAACTTCAGTAATTTCTTCTTGCTGGAGAACGAGACAAAGGAGAAAGATTTGGAGAAACCATTACTTTTAGTCCGAACTAACAATTCTTCCTTACAAAATTTCTCACTTTTCTTCTTCACCAGGGACTTACTATGCTTCTAAAGAACATAAGGAAATTATTTGACTGCTGATAAAAATGGTTCTGTAGTTACTTGTCTAGGTAAATGACACTCGTGTTTTTTAATGAAGTCCTACTAGAGAAAAAGTGATTATAAGTCCGTGTTCCTGTTTTATAACATTGCTATTGTTCTTCTCTGAAGATACCATCTCTGTTCTCTGTCTTTAAAAGTAAAATCATCTAAAAAAAAAACATTTCAAGACAATTTCAAGACATGCTTTTAACACTTCTCTTTAACGGTGCATGCTGTATTGCCCATGGTTCAAATTTTACAGCAGCTATGTTGCACATACTCTGTTTATCTCCTACCATGTGAATTTGATATAAGAATACTTTTTACGGCATCTCTATAAGAATTGTGTTTATACTGTGTAGAAATTGTTGTTTTGTTAAATGCTTTTTCATTCATTTTCTTTCAGGAGTAAGATTTCGTGGTTTGGAACTGAGATCACATAACATTGTGCTCCCAAGATGTAGAGAGAGTCTGCTCAAGGATCCAAGCGCTGAAATAAAAAAGTTGTATGATTTTCATATTTCTTAATTTTTGTTCTTATAATTGTTAACATTTGTGGTTTTCTTGAAGGAAAAAAAATACATTTTTCAGAAGTTTTTACTTCAGAAAATAAAGTGAAATTGTTGGATTACACAACAGTAACACTGATAACAATGCAGAAGGATTATTATTCCTTATTATGATATGGAAAACAGGATTGGGAATTTAGAATGCAAAATGTAGGTACATAAGAATTTGACTGAAAGTTAAAATTGATCTTCAATGGTGAGCCTCTCTTTTTGCTAGGATGCAATGCATACTACTGGACAAAACTGACAAAAGCAGAAAGAATCATAGCTGAAAAATTATTACCAACAAAACTCCTAAATTTGTCTGAATTTAACCCTTTCTGAACAGTTACAATTTATTTTTTGTTTAAATAATTTGCATTATAATATAATGTTTTTACTGAAAAAACAGAAAATCTTATTTTATAGTGATGGGCCTAGAAAGGACTATTTCTCCTATACCTATCACTTTCAAAGACTAGGAAAATAAGAGCTATCCATTAAGACTGCCATGAATCTTGGTGTTCACAGTAGCTTTTCTCCTAAGGTTGATCAAAAACATTGTGTTATAATGCAGAAAACATCCAAATAGTGTTTTTTTCAGAGATTTCAGCTCTCACAAAGGTGGAAAAAATTACCACAGTTGCTCAGAATGGTGCACTTGAATACAAAAGCCAAACCCATGTCCAAAAAAACTCAAAGTACTTTTAGGTCAACAATAGGTGTCTGAAGTAAGGAACTGTAGCTTATTCATCTGTCGTGGGTTAAAGTTAACTCTGTTAATTTTTTTTCTTTTCTCTCCCTCTTCTTCATAAATAGCTAGCAAGAGGCTGTGTTTTGGATTTAGGCTCAGGAGAAGCTGATAAGACCGATGTTTTGTTCTGCTGCCAAGGTCAGCAGACGAGCAAAGAGGCACAGCCGGTTGCTAGCATAGGACTTGCCCTTATGTCAAAATTGAAACTCAGAATAGCCAATGATATTCCATAACATGCACGGCATTCCCAGTATATAGGTAAGAACACCCAGAAGAGTGTTCTTTTTTGCCTCCGCTCCGCTTTTTTTCTGTGCTCTCTGCTGGCTCGGCATCGCTCTTCCAAGGCCTCTTCCCCCCCACCCTGCACACACACCCCGGTCAGCAATCTCTCTCTGCCTGGGATGCCCGAATCGTTATCTCCGCTCCATGAGTTTCGGGATCCTCCTTCTCCGGGGGGATCGTTAGCTGCGGCCAAGAAAATCAAAATCACAAAGTTGTGGCCTACTAAAAGTATTTAGATTCTGATCCTTATAGTTTTCTGCTTTTCTGTTTTTTAGTTGTATTTACTGGATAAATTCCACTGTTGGACACATAATCCGATTTTTTTTTTTTTTGCAGGAAGTTACCTAACTCAGAATAAAAGTTTAAAAATCACTCTCACCGCTCCATCCATTGAAGATCTTATATTCTTCTGATAGCTAGTAATGGTGTTTTCCTTTTCAGTAAACACTTGGTTCTAATGGATTAGGAGGAGAGTACATTTAATACATAGGATAAGAAACCATAAACTATGTTATCAGCTAGATTCTGCTAAACATTATTAATGCCACATTAACATTTATTTTGAGAGTATTATGTTGTTTGTGTTGTGTTGGGTAATGTGTTTGAATTATGTATCTATTTATTGTATTATTCACATCTTTTCATGTGGTGACCTCTAATTATTTTCATAGAAAGTTGAACTCTTAAACCTCTGTTGTGTTTCATGTAATTGCAAAATACAAATTTTGCTGAACACTTTTAAAATCTTTGATCACTTGAGTATTCATTTAATTTTTTTCTTTTATTAAATACTTACCTGGTTTTGGAACGTAAGATGCTTGTACTTGCAGGGAGGCTGTGATTGAGGCTCAAAGGAAACAGATTGAGGAACTAGAACGTTCTAGAGAGATACTTTTGGATCATCTAAAAAAGAAAGGAAAGGAAGTTGAAGAATCCACCCGACGTCTGAAAGAGCAGGAAACAACAAGCTACAGGTATTGTGCAAAATAGAAATCTCCATGGTGGAAGCATTAGAAGAGCTATGTCGTAATGTTTATATATAACTGTGAAAATTACTTGTTCTGTTAAGAAATACGTGCCTTATTCATTTTTTTTCCCTATGGTAAAACTAGCCATAAAATGTTTTAGCAAATAGCCATGGATAATCCTAAGCAAGGAGATTGTTATTAAAATATGTTGTTATGTTTTTCACTAATAATAACCAATAAACAAAGAGGCTGATAATTACCATTTTAGAGAATTCATTTCCAGCTGATACAGATTCAACTGAAGTTCAGCTCATTAAATTTTAACCATCTATTGTTTCTTCAATATAATTCTTAGAAAATTTTAGATACAGGTTCATAGTAGATAATTTAGTGTTCATTAGTACTCGTTTGGAGTCTGCAAATAGTAGAAAAATAATGACCCTGTAAGGGTAGATTAGCAAAAAAAGGAATATGGTATAGCTGTGCAGTGAAACAAAGCCAGACAAACTTCCTTGCAGAACATGTTTCACAGTAAAGTCTCAATTAGTTTAATCTTTCTTTCTTTCTTCTTTCACTTTTGCAAAAATATATGCAGAATTGTATAACTTTGCTTATATTTTCCCTCTTTTGACTGTTTCAATTTCAACCTGTTACTTCTAATTGTATTAAAGATCTAATACGGCACAATCCTGCATTCCTTACTCATTTGAAAGTTCCACTTGGATGAGAAATATGTGGTCAGTTCTTTAACTGCCTTTCAGGAGAGGGACCCCATTATTTATGTGTGAGCATTCTTTTGTGCATCAGTGGCACTACATAAATAATACATCATAATGTTTGCTATTGAATTATTCACAAAGTCGTAAGTCTCCCTTATTCAGAACTTCCTTTATATAGTTTAAATAGGTTAAAGAAGTTGTTTTCATAAATAATTTCTCAGTCTGTGCCTACAGTGAATTTGGAAAATATAAATTTTTTTTTAATTATTTTAAAATAATCTGATACAAATCTCAAAGAACTGTGCTTCATTTTTCCATAGATAAACACTGTTCTTTAACTACAGCAGTCAGAAACTGAACGTAACCTCTAAATCTGATGTCAGCTACCATGTTTCTGTGAAATTTTTAGGCAGTTTTAAAGTAAAGGTACACCTCAAATTCAGTTAAAACATCCTTAAATAAAGTCAGGCAGGCTAAAAAAAAGAAGTGCAGATCCTTATTTATTTATGTTTATCAGGTTACTTGTATGCAAACCATGATACTTGACCTAAGTTAAAATCTGTGAATTCATGTTTGAAGTTCTGGAATGATTTCCTTTACAGTCTATTTTTTGTTTGAAACCAGATAAAATATACTTTTAAGTATTTAAGAGTTACCGTATTTGGCTGAATACACTGGGAAAGAAATTGAAAGATGTCCACTAGTGCATATCCAGAATAGTGTGAGTTCAATAATATTGCCACTAGAATACTTTATGAAAGGTTGTTATTCTGCATGTTTTTCAAGTTGTTTTTTTTTATGCTGAAGGAACCAGAGCCAGAACTTAGAGGGATAGTATTCTCTCCAGGTTCAACTGTAACCATGAGTACCTAGATATATTATCTTTAGATTTTCATTAGCTTGCTTTCTTGGAAGTCTTGTAACTGCTGTCTAGAACATTCTGTATTAGTTGTTTTGTTACACAAATAGTTTTGTAGGTTCTATGTAATCCTTATTTTTAATCTTTGCACCAGAAGATAAGAGACTGTCAATAGTGGAATATTGGAAGAAGAATTGGAAATTGGGGTGACTGATAAGGTCATCTTATTTTCTCTTTGTAGCTTATGTCTTTGAATTTTGGAACAATTGGCAGCTTTTTCTTGTGTTTTGTAAGAACGCACTTGACTGTCATCTAGTTATATTACTACCCAAAGCAGTTAATCTTTTGAAATTATTTAGGAACTGCATGGTGCCAAAAGGACATAAATTCCACCAATCTTCATGCTGCAGTACCATTTGATCTCAGCCTGATGTTAACAAAATTAGGTTACTTTCAACCTTTAGGAAAACATTTATTCTGCTACATGATTAACAAATTCTTGTTATTGAAATATGACTGTAGTTTCCAAGTAGTGAAGCAGCTGCAGTTAATAATCATTGATTCACTAGTGGCAAGGGAGGGAGATACTAGTTATCCTGAGTCCTATACCCACAAGAAATCCAGATCTATTTTAAAGCTTTGCAGCTTCCCAACAGTTTCTGTATAACAACACACAAGAGATACATAACAGAGCTGAGTTCCTATGCAGTGTACTGCTCGAGATGATTATTTTTACATGGTGGCAATCAGTGTCTTTTTCAGTGTTTCATTAGAGATTGTTTGGGTATTGTTTCAGGAATATATAATTCTGATTTAATTCTAACTTAAGGGAGAAACTTGGCCTGTGGGTTATTGGACTAAACACATTTTCTTAAGTACAGAATTTAACTGCATTTAGCTTGACTACAATTTAAAGATGGCCAAAACTATAATAACCCCATAGTTTGATGTCTATGATACACAGTGTGCAAGCTAAAACATTGTCTAAACAATCACATTTTGCAAGCAGCTAGCTTCAAATAACTTAACTGCTCATTGTACTTTCCAAAAACATTTTTAAAGCCACCCGAAAATGCATTTGTGAAACAAGTTCTTGGTTTTTGCGCTCTTGTGGGCTTTTTTTGTGTTTCGTTGTTTGGGGGTTTTTTGTTTGTTTGTTTTTAAATGAGAAAGCTTGTTTGACAGTCAGGTTTTAATTCCTTTGGCATTTTTTGCTGCAACATGACTTTGGAATCAGACTTATTAAATGTGTGGATGTTGCAACAGGAGTATCATCTGATATACTCATGACTTCTGTGTTTGCATTATAGCATTGCAGACCTAGATTAAAATTACTTTTTTTATTTGTAGATAGCTCTTTAGACAGGCAAACAAATAAAGAATTTAATATTAGTATTTAAATAATCTTAATAACTTAGATACTAGAGCTGTTGATGCAATGTTAATGTTTTGCTTATTGCAAATATACTATCAATTACAACATAAAAGTTCTACTAGAAGGTAAACATTGTTGAGGGTTTTTTTTCCCCCCTTATATTTTACTTCCTATAAGGAATAAGAGGAAAGAACATAATGTGTATCAATATATAATCCCCTTAGTTCCCAAGCATTGTGAAATGAGTAGTGCACCTTGATGTTCTATTCTTTACTTTTCTGCTTGGGAGTCTATGTCTATATTTTGGCCACTGATGCATTTGTGATTGAGAACTATTAGCCTGGAAACATTTTGTTTATTTTGCCAGACAGAGGGTAAGGGATCTTGAGAAGTATGGTGGTGATATTTTTTTACTTGCTTGTTGTTCTTATTCTGAATATGAATGGGGAAGGTTTGTGAGCCACGTGTATTGAGACAATAGTCAGGACTCTCTAAGAGTAGCCTCAGTATTGTATCCATGTCCTGCTCATATGGAAGTAAAGACAAGATGCAAGGGATGTGGTTTAATTAGACCTCAATTTTATTAGCTTAGCCATCTTGATTTTACTGGCACAAATTTGTACAGCGCAGGTCAAGATCCTTTCTTTAATAGTTTCCTTCTGGAGTAGGTTGCCATCAGTCCCCCATTCCCACACAGCTGGTCCCCAGCCTGTTGTTGGGACCCCACTCTATATGTTTTTAATCCAAATGATAAGAAGTCTGGAAAAGAGATCATCTTTTTGGTGTACTTCAGACATTAACCGCAAACATAATTCTTAGTTTTTTAGAGTCACTTTCTCCTAACTTCATTTCCAATTTCAGACTTTTTTATCCAGCTTTAAGATGGGGTTTAGAGTGGGAGAATAGAGTTCATGTTCTTTATTTCTGCACCTGTGGCTAAATCAGAAGCTAAATCAGTATACCTGTTAATTCAGATTACTGCCTCAAAAGGGATATTAGTTCCTTTTCTTTTTCTAACTTGTGTTCCAGGTCTACCTGCACGTCTTCAGGTTCTGTGGCAGAATTTTGGGGGCTTGACAATAGAGAAAATATTGAATGAGCTATCTTAGTACAGCTTTATTCTTATACATTATTTTGTTATTCTTTGAGCAAAATATTATCTAAGTAAAGGTAGTATTGACTTTTCTATCAAATCTGTATATAACCCCTATTTTTAACTTATATCAGAATTCCTGGGCAGATGTTCTGGGAGCAGAATACATCACATAACTGGGAGGGAGAAGCTGTTTAGATAAGAGATTTCTATTCTATTCTACTGTTTTGTGTTATAAAAAAATGAATGCAACAGAATCTTCCTCAATTAACTTTGCCTTGCCCACAAAATCTGAAATTATTTTGTTTTTTAACACCAAGCTCCTTGTCATGTACCAAAATGCACTGGACATTTCTTAGACATATTTTATTTAAATAAATAAATAAAATATTGTAGAAGTACTGTAGAGAAATAATTTTGTTGCTCTAGCTTGTAATGAGAACTGAAATTGTGATTGATGTAATGCGCTAATAAGGAATTAATGGCACGTGCTTTCTCTAGCTAGAAACTTCATGAGATAAATACTCTTAAAATTGTAAGAGTGGAAATGATCCCAATAAAAAGTAATTTTTCACTTCAGAATTTGAATAATTTACTTCATAATATCAGTACCCCAGACCTCTTTAAATCAAATGCTGTTTCACTCTCTGTTGAAAAAATAGTTAATGTTGATTGTCAGGAGCCATGGGGTTTACATCTGTACATCATAAATTTCACTATCATCTGCTCCTTTTTCTACTTAAAAAGAAAATAAAAAGCCCCCTGCTTAAAAAAGAAGGGGGAAAAAAAGGAAAAGGAAAAAGCCTTTGAAGGCATCAGAGCCTTTTGTTTGATGTGTGGAACAAGATTAATAAAAACGTGCCACTACATTAGCTTTTAAATAGCGAGCATGAGACAGTGCTGCTGTCTGTACTCACCACAACTTTAATTTATGTCGATAACATGTTTTAGACACATGATAGTTTTAGCATTGTGTTAGGGTTGTTCTTGCAGAAGATTTCAGGTTTGTGAGTGTGTTTATCTTCTGTGCAAGGACAATTAACTGGGCAATGCCAAAACACAATAGGCTTTGATATTTTACAGAATAAAAGGAAAGTATTTCACGTACTCAGCTGGTTTACAGATGTGTAAGCTTTGTAGTCCATTTTCTTGCTCCAGCATGGCATTATGATGACTCCTCCAATATGTCAATAAATTGATAACTATTGGAAGATAAATTGCCTTTTCAAATGCTAAAGATTTATTCTGATTTTATCATATTTTATATTAATACAAATCAAAATTGGTTTCTCTTGCTGTATTTGAAGAAGCTGTGAAAATAATGTGGTTTAGTTTCACTGTTTTAAGTAAGGGAAAACATCAGAAGTAAATATTTATTTAAATTGTTAATTATTTTAAACATCCTTTCTATTAAACAGTACATTCTCAAATTAATCTTGGAATTGTAACAATATAGAGCATCTGCATGGATATTAAGTGGGTTTTATGTGGTTAAGACACACCTACAGCTTGTTTGAATGTCAGCCTGAAGGTGTTACAGTATAAATTGCTAAGTCCCTTTTTCTTAGTAGTATTTGGTACGTTTTAGGGGTGGAAAAGAAGTGACTGGAAAATAACTAATCCCTTTAGGTATAGGATTGTTTTCTCTTCCTGTCATATATAATTTGAGAAGATAAACAAAGGTACATCTGTATTGATTGAAGCTGGTATGTCATCATGTAGTATACTGTTTATTTACCTAAATTCTGTAATGTGGATTATAGAAGAAGAAATTAATTTGGGTATTACACACTAAATCTTTTCACAAGTGGGTTGTAGAAAGCTGATTTGCAAAGGATTTCAACTTCTCAAGGCAGAAATAATAAGATCATTCATTTTGTATCTTTAAGCTCATGATGTATTTCTTTTTAATAAAATTTTGAAGGCTAAACATTCGGGACAATGTGAAAATGATCAAGATCCGTAAACAGCTGCTTGAGAAAAGCAATGCTCTTTCAGAAATGGAAGACAAATTTCGCCAACTTCAAGAGGTAATTGCCATTTAGTCAGCAACATTCCTTTATTCTTGTCACATAAGCATGCGTAAATGGAAAATATACACAATTCTTGATTCTGAATCAATACTGAGTAAGTGAAAATGAACCACGTAATATGTTGCGCCTAAGCTACTCCAAATGTGTAGGGTTTTTTGGTCTTAAAATTGTCATTTTTTCAGAAGAGTCTATTGAGTCTTAAAGATTTTGTTTGCAAAGCCATCCCAGATGGGTTGTGGAGAAAGGAGTTGTCTGGCTATCTAAATCGATCCCTGATCATTTAAAAAGAGGGTTTTGACTTAAATAAAGTTGGGGAGATGTGGCTGTTTAGACTTCTGACCTTAGGACTGGACTTGTCTTCATAAGCTCATGGGAATTATTTTAGAGGGCTACTGTTAAGTAATAGATTTTCTTTATAAAAAGAGTATTTTATGACAATATCACCAGAACAAGCAACTGTATGGTAGATTCTATGTAGGTTTTAGTTTTACAGCATTTTTCTGCTTCTTCCCATATGTATTTGTAGAACTGCATGTGTATACAGACAGTGGTAGTATAATAATAGCTTAGAAATGGGAGAGTTCCTGTGAGTAGGAATCCTACATGCAATAGAGCTTTATAAAGTACACTAGCCTTATGAGGTGGAAGTACTAGATAGCCCTCTAAACTCTTACTTCTGCCTGCTTTGTGTTATTTTAGCATGATAAATAACATTTGTGCCATTAGATTTTTGTTTCATTTCTTCTTTCGTGTGTTTTTCTGCTTCTATGTTTTGCTTTGCTTTGCTTCAAGAAAAAAGTTATTAAAATGGAAAAGAACTTTGGAGAAAAAAATTGAAGCTGAGAGATGGGGAAGAAAAGATGTATTCACTTGAACAGTTGGAAGGGTTAGGATTCTGATATTGAGGAGAAAGGAAATAAATTTTGAGAGAAATTAAGAGTGTATCAGAATTATTTTTAAGGTGTCATTTTTTGAAGTTATTGAAACACAGTTCACAGATGTAGGACAGAGCAAGAGGAACACTGAAAAAAGACTTAATTGATGAGTAATATACTTCACTATCTCTCTGAAATAATACTAATAATATTATTTATTCTCCATGATTCTTTTTTGTGAAGAAATTAGATAAGAGAGGCTGAAGATCAGGTCGATGATTGGGTTTTCTGTAGGATTTTTGTTTGTTTCTAGGTTATTCATACTGCATGTGAACCTAAACAATTTGTACAGGATTCACATTCATCTTCTCCATTTAACTACTTTATAGGAGTATTATATGGAAAACATTAAACTAACTTTTTTCTGTTTACAGTCACTAAACATTATCTATACCCATACATGTATTTGACATAAATTTTCCTATTATCATTTTATTAAACAGGAGATTAGCTTTTTGGGCTGTTTTGTTTCAGTTCATATGAATGTGATTTACATTGAAAATCTTAATGAATGAGTCTTATTAAGGCATTGTGGAACGTAGGCAGTATAATATTAACTAATATTCCGGTAATAGAGGTACTATCAGCATTCTCCATTTAATATTAAAATTGGTTAAATGGGCCTTAATATAATATATTGAAATAAATCAAAATGTAAAGGAAATCATAAGTCCTTTGTTAAATTAACTGCTGGCAGGGAAATAGACCTGAGTGCATTGGGATTATGAAACAATTATGTATTTACGATTAAGGGTTAACAGAGCTGTGGCAAGGTCTGTGATTAACATAACTGTGGTCAACATTCGTTTTTTGCTTGCTACTGCAGTGTTTTTGGTCAGCATGTCTAACCACTGTAACCACAGCAAAATCTTTTAATTGCTTAACAGATGTATTTCTTGGTCGTTTTCATCATGACTGAACTGTGGGTTTAATGTTCATGAAAGCAAGAATGCCACCTTCTCCTGGCCGTGCATAATGAAAGTTGCTTTCAGTTACTTAGTTCAAGAGTGTCTCCTATCGTCCACTTTGAGAATATGTACTAAATACTGGCATGAGAGACCACTGGTTGAATATGTAGAGTGTTGTAACACTCTACTAAGTGTGATTTATTTCATTTTTTTTCTGTATTTTGCTTCCTTCCTTTTCATAGAACCACAGGAACTTGAGGATGAACCATGCTGTTTTAGCAGCAGAAAATGATGAACTGAATCTAAAGCTTAAAGAGGAGCAGTTAAAGTGCCTCAATCTTGAAAAAAAATTGCAATCAGTGACTGTTTCAAACCAAAGGCCAGAGGAGGTGAGATTGTTTTCAAGAGCTAGAATCTGCCTTAAGCAGTACACATAGATAAGGGATAAGTTAATGATAGGATACCTTTTAATTGCAGAGATGGGAACAGACCTTTCAAACAAGTTTAGAAGACTGACCTGGTAATAGATATACTTTTGTCCCATTAAAAGGAAAATCCAGTGGCTTTTGCTTGCATTTCATAGAATCATGGACCATACCTGGTCCCCCCATAATCACTGCACCAGTGTTTGCACAATATTTCAGGTTAAAGTATAGGATTTCATATCAGTTCTGATACTAAACAAGTGGTTGGTAAACCAGAAAAAATCAAGGTACTTGATTTATTGATCATGTATTGTTAGTTTTTTAGTATTATTTCAACCTGATTTAATTATGGTGTAGTGTGGTATTACATCTTACTCAGCAGTTCAAATCAGTCACTTCTATTTCTTTGTCTAGTGCTTCTCAGAGACAAGTATCATCCCTAACAGTCACCCAGATACAGGGCTAAAAATCAAGTGTTTTTTATTCCTCATTCTCCTCAATATATGAGGAATAAGAGTCTACACACTTTTGCTTTTTCTTTAATTTTGTAGCACCTTTAGTTTTACCACCTAATTTACCTGTTTTGAATGTATTCTACATGAACCAAGTTTACCATGATTACCTCATAGATATTTGCTCCAAACCATTAAACTATTGTAATGCACATAGGTTAAAGCATCTTATATCTTTAAAACTGCTTTAGTGAGTGTTTTGAAAGCAAGGACTTATTGTTTGGTTAAGGTCCGTAAAAAAATATTTACAGGAGCCATTAACTAGATAATACTAATACTCACCAAAACAATTTAATACTATAGATTTTTTTTTCATAAGGCAGATTGTGATTAGACACTGTTGTTCAACTGCGACATTAGTCTCAGCTTCATATAAACAACATGAAAAAGACTGTCTGGGCCAAATTTAAATCCATGTGGTGAAAAAAGTTGTTGTTTTGAAGCTTGTAAGAAACTGATATATAAAAAGAACAAATAAAAACCTGACAATGCCTACAAATATTACAAAAATTAATTGTCTTTACACATTCATTGTAATTTCCTTTTGTGCTGTGCATTGCCTGAAACTGCCTTCTTCATTTTAGTTACAGGAAAGAATAAAGGTTCTAGGAAAAGAGAATGAACTCTTGAGGGAAAGTTATGACAGGCTGTATAACATGTAAGTTATGGTTTCTGTATATAAAAAACTTGATTCCTATCCTGTTTAATAGGTCTTCATGTGCTTGAATGTACATATGCATATTGTGTGCTTGTGCACACATGTAAATATATTCATAGTATAGTTCATCATATCAGTAAGTGTATATGGAAACTTTTATGGTGTTCTTTCAGTATTTCATCGGTTCTGTTGAAACAGAGTAGCTTCCGTACTTGTTCTAATAGTCTTGAAATGGTAGATTACTTCTTTTATAAAGTCTAATGAAAAATAAGTAGAAGTCACTGTATTTTGAACATCAATGCAAAAAGTTCTTATTTCTAATAATTTTTTTAGGGTCATTGTTGCAAGAATAATATGTTCCTTTCGATTTATTTTATTTTATTTTATTTGGGAAAAAGTAGTGTTTGAACTTTTTGTACAAGTTCCTCCAGCACTTCTTAGTGGACCTACATAAAGTCTGATATTTGACAGCTTCTCCAATGTTTATTTTTGAAAGGTGGTTTGTTTGTTTTGGTAATAGCTAACATTTCACTTGTACTGGTTCTCCTTGAAGTTTTTGTATAGGCTTATGTAAGTTTTTACAAAGGTTCCTGTACATAATAAGCTGTATAAATTGTATCAGCAGTGCTTACAATGAAAATGAAAATACCTTGTGAGATATGATTCAGAAATTCTCTGGTACAGAAAAGAAGTAATTATAGTCAATTCACACAAGCCTATTAAGGGAAAAAGTGACCTTCAAATGAACTTTTCATTTATTGTGAAACCATCTGGTCTTTTACACTGAAGAGGATTAGAAAATTTCCCAGAGCTAATAATTGCTTTGGAAAATAGGTAAAATGCTTGAAGTATTTTTTCGTATCAAAACTATTTATCTTCTTAAAGTTTGGTTTGTCCGTGTGATGTCTGTCAAAAAAAAATACCAGTTAGTAAACACAATGTGAGTGATATCAAATGTTGTTTATAGTACTTGTACAATATTTATTATATTTTTTGTACTTTTTATAGTGAAATTATAGTGGTACAAAACTGTGAGTTCAAATAGCTTAAAACATTTAACACTTGTATGATCACAATATTTAGAATTTTGTATAGGGGCAGTTGGTCAGTTGTTGCTTAAGTTCATCGTAGGTTCCTCCAGAGTTGGATCGTGTTATAAATATTTTTGATTATGATTTTTTTTCTATTCCATTATTATGCAGACAAATAACTCTTACTAACAAATCAACTTACAATTTCGGCTTTAAATTTTCTGTTCTAATTAAACCATAGCAGGAGAACTTAAAAAAATGTTTAATTTAAATATGGCTCTCTCGTAACCCAGTAATCAACAATATGACTTTTCCCTAAAATGAACTGTTTTTTTATATACTCCCATTTAAACTTTGATTCATGTTCCATCATTCCATGTTGGTATATAGGAAACAAGAAATTAGTAAAAGAAATGAATCATTTTATTATAACTACTGGTTAATGGCCAACTTCTTCTGTTGCCCATTTGAACAATGTAACCTTACCACAGCTTACCTGTTTCTAGCAGTGGATAGGCCAGTGTTCACTGGTGCCAGACAGTTAATAAATATTCCTTTCTTGTTTTAAGGGAGGAAAAGAAGTGTAAACCCATTCTTTGCTAATGTTATTTTTTTGGAAATTGATTTGAAGTTGACGGGAATTTTTGCCAAAGCTGGGACTGCAGAAATAGGTCTGAAAAGTTCACAAAGAACAAGTATGAATTTGTCAGTAGACTCTTACTATTTAGTCAGTATCCAAGAAAACAATTCATTTGGGTAAAAGGTTTGGAGGAATTGTTTTCATATGACCTTGTAATGCAAATCTACGAATGCTTAAGTTCCCTCCAAAGGAAATGGTGCCAGATGTGGTTGACCATTTGTAGTTACCCAGATGGCTCCAACGAAATACAGTAAATGTGAAAGAAATTCCACATGAATTCAAGTAAAAGTAATCTTAAAATTCAAAGGAAGAAAGCAACAGAAGTGGACTCAATTCAAACTGACATAAAATTTAGCATTATATAGGCTTGGATAAAACCTGTCTTCTAAATTGTTCTTTATTTAAACATCTAAATTCTGAATTACTGTCATAGTAACAGTTAATGATTTTTCTGCCAGAGTAGTCATTTGAAAAACTGAAATAATGTGTAGCTACAGCCTTATGTGAAGTAGTTGTACCTAAAGATAACAACTGTACATATAACTAGATACCATGGTCATTAAAACTTAAAAACATTTTCAGAAATGTGAAAATTGAGGGTATTTGATATATTTTCTTGCTAAGATTTATTATTTCCGTACAGGAGCCAATTGAACTTTGAAGAGTGGTAAAACTAGGCAGTTATAGAACACACTGTGTCTTCTGTACCTGTGGAGTACGATGGAAATGATTGTGGGTTTCAAGCATTATATTCACTGCATATTATCTTCAAAATTATAGCAGATTGAAGCATATATTACTGTAGGACTTGGAAGCATTGCTTAAGTTCATGCATGCTATAAAAGACACTGTCACCCTATAAGATGCTGTATGCCCAGAGAACTGTGTAAACAGGTGAGATAGATACAGTATAAGAAAAAGACAAAATACAGAGAGATAGAACTGCTTTTATTAAGGTCACAAATCAAGAATCCGAACTCTTGCCATATACTTTAGACGCTACAAATCATGCTGTGTTTTTTTTTTTTTTAATCTTAGGGTCATTCTTCAAATATATTAGATATAAATGCACTTATATGTACTCAGAAACACTTTATGTAGTCATAGCCATCAAAACAGGCAGTAGTCTTCAGTCAGCATGTAGTCTCTGAAGCTCCGTGGCCTGTCACTTGTGTGATATTTCTTTCTCTTCCTCCATGTTTTTTGGTTGAGGCTTTTGTTGCATAGATCTCTGGGAGAGACAGATTGATAAACCGATGGATATCAGCAGATTTTTAATATAAAAATTAGCTTTTTATGTTAAAAATAACTTTTTTAACTGGTGAGCTTCACCAAAGTGAAGAGTTCAGGAATGGACTCTTGTTTAGAAAAGCCCTACGATTTCTGATTTTTCACAAAATAAAAAAGTGACTAAACTGATTTATAATTGGTTAAGATGAAGGACATTTTTCCATTATCAATAAGAATGCAAATATTTAATAATAATAATAATATGAAGACAATAGTACTAACTGTCTAAATTACATGAAAGGACATTGTCTTTGTCTTTTTGCCTACTGAGAGTTATACTGTGAATTATATAACATACTTAATTTTGTTTCAATCTGAGTTACGCATTTTACTGTGGTTTCAGCAGTTCTGATTCTGTGTCCATTCAATCCTTGGTAGTTTACAAGTAAATAATGTGTTACAGGCAAAATAGTTATTCTAATGTGTTTGCCCACCTCTGTTTCTTATTTCTTAAAGCAGGAGAAAGATTACTTTATATGTGCTTCTTAATCAGTATCAGAATTGTTGTTTTACAGTATGAGAAAACTGTTGTCACTTTGTGGTCAACATTTCTTTGAAGGGGCAACTGACTTTAGGCTCTGCATGTTTCACAGATTTAAAAGAAATTGGGTGGGTGATCCCAGTTCTCTACATTAAGAGGTTTTGTATGCGGAAAGAATGGTTTTGTCAGTTGTCAGTTGTTGAGGTTTAGAATTGTGGATTACTCTTGGATATGCATCTGAATTCCTTTTCTAGTCCCACAAATGTTGCATGCTGCCAACTTTTCTGACTTTGGAGCTCTAAATTAAGGCCAGTTCCTTTGCTCATCCCACAAGCTCTTTCATGTTTTTAAACCGCAGCCTGAGAAAGGCGCCTTGGTTTCAATAGCAGCAGACCAGCATATGTTTACTTAATTCCTAAGACATGATGACAGTGGTCTCTGTGCCACTAAAAGCTTTTTGCTTTATTATTTTCTGTTGAAGCTGATTTCTAAAAGTTTTTCACATGCCACATGTTTTATTGCAGTGTCTTCAGTATGACCCGTCAGAAGGATTGGCTGTTAAAGGTAAAGCAACTGAAAGAGCAAATTGATAACTTACAGACTGATACCAAATCTACTTTCGCAAAGAAAAATGAAATCATTGACAAGCTCAAAGCAGAAAGAGGTACATTTCTGAAATAACTATCATTTTCTCATGATGTGAGATTCTCTTTTGTTGGAGTTCAGGTATATGGCCCAGAAAAGTGTAGTTTCTATTGATTATTTCAGAGCCGCCTTTTAAGAGTACATTTGAACAGTACACTGAAGTTGTTATAGCTAGCTCTGAAGTACAAAAATTGACCCAATAAAGGTTATGTGCTGAATGAGGATCATGTAACTCCAGCTGCCTTTGTTCTTCATCTATTGGGTTAATATTTACTCTTTATTCTGTATTTCTGCTCTCCTCTAGACTGAAAATTCTTATGGAAAAGAGGACCATCTGACAGTCCCTCTCAACTTATAAACCAGTATTTTGATTTTATGTACCATACGAAGTTACATGAAGCCTATACAGGCCTTTCAAGATGGTTTATTGTCTTTCAACTTTGTTAATTCAGAATTTTTTAGTAGTTTTAGTATACAATCGTTTTATTTGCATCTATGTACATATACAATATACAGTTTTCTTATAAGCTGATGAACAGATTATTTCATATGTGTTTTTCCCATGCTGTAGGACAACTTCTTAGTGAATCTTTAAGACCTTGCAATCTTTTCTATCTCGATACTGTGATATACTGTGGCAGCATAAAGTTTACAAAACAAGACAAAAGAGCACAGGCAGGAAGTAAACTAAATATTTTTAGAGTTGATTCTTCAAATGTGTTTTTTAAAAGGTGTATTTCTGTGAGCAATCTAATGGAATGAAGTAGGGCAACTTGTGGTTGTGGCTGGAGTTCAACATGTGCATACAATTAAGATTCTGAGTAGCTCTACTGACTTCAAATACCAGATTAAATATCTTATAATTTTATTTGACAACAGCAAGTGTTTGCAAAATAGGCCTTAGGTGATACTAAAATAAATAAGATGCCTTAAGCTACAATAATATGAATTTATGACATATTGACAGTTACAGTTGTTAATGACAGTTTGATTATGCAATGTAAAATTTAAAGTGATATTAAGAACATGAACATGTTATAGGCCATGTTATTATTTGGTTAAGTTGAATGTAGAAAATCAGGCAACACCTTCCATCTTCCATCCTTCCAATGGGTATTACGTTTAAGTGGCAAGTCTTTACCACCCCTTCCCCAGACTGGCGCTTAAAAGCTTGTTGTACTCTTAAACTGGATCACCAGGTTACTACACTCTCAATTTCTATTGAATTGAACTTGCTGCAGCTTGTACATATATTGTAATACCCTTCAAGGCCTATGTATCTAGAATTTAATTACAAAACTTAGGTAGTATAAGGTTTTTTAATCACATTCTTCAGAGTATCTGCCTTTGCTGCACATCCCTTTTTTAAGTTCAGCTGAAAAACTGAAGTACTATTTGTCTTAACCTACTGCCTGGAACTAGTGTAGAAATAGTGTCTTGTCTACTAGCCTTTGTAGATTGGCATATGAGTCTTTTTTCAAACCTTCTTTTCCAGGACTAAGAAAGATGTTAAAATAAATGAAGTCTTGAAAATTCTTAATGCTACAGGAGACTAACATAATCTTGCCTTTTTCCATGTCCTCTTCACTCTTTTAGAGTAATCATGTAATTTCATAGAATCACAGAATGGTTTGGGTTGGAAGGGACCTTAAAGATGATCTAGTTCCAACCCCCCTGCCATGGGCAGGGACACCTCCCACTAGCCCAGGTTGCTCAAAGCCTCATCCAGCCTGGCCTTGAACCCCTCCAGGGATGGGGCATCCACAGCTTCTCTGGGCAACCTGGGCCACTGCCTCACCACCCTCATAGTGAATAATTTCTTCCTAATATCTAATCTAAATCTACTCTTTTTCAGCTTGAAACCATTCGCCCTCATCCTATCACTACTCTCCCTCATCAAGAGTACCTCCCCATCTCTCCTGTAGCCCCCTTTCAGCACTGGAAGCTGCTCAAAGGTCTCCGTGGAGCCTTCTCTTCTCCAGGCTGAACAACCCCAACTCTCTCAGCCTGTCCTCGTATGGGAGGTGCTCCAGCCCTCTGACCATCTTCGTGGCCTCCTCTGCACCCTCTCCAACAGGTCCATGTCCTTCCTGTGCTGAGGACACAGCACTGCAGGTGGGGTCTCACGGGAGCAGAGCAGAGGTGGGGAATCACCTCCCTTGACCTGCTGTTCATGCTTCTTTTGATGGAGCCCAGGACACGGGTGGCCTTCTGGGCTGCAAGTGCACACTTCCGGCTCGTGTTAAGCTTCTTATCTTTCAACACCCCCAAGTCCTTTTCCTCAAGGCTGCTCTCAGTCCATTCTTGTTGCTGCCTGTATTTGTGCTTGGGATTGCCAATTTAGATCTGAATTTTTTGGTAGTTTTTCTGTCCATAACTTCATAATGTGTTTTGCAATACTTAAATACATAGAGACAGAGAACAGAATAACTTATTTCACATTGTGACTGTTTGCCTTTTTTGTTAAATATGTATATTTTTAGAATATATATTTGCAGATGCTATATCACACTTCCCCCTGCCATATTCCCATAGTCATTTATTCTTGTGTTTCTTTTCATTTTGGTATCTCCCAGATCCTCAGCCATGAGTTACAATAGCTCTTTGGTTCATGTTCATTTTATCTTCCTGACAGTGTTGTTTTATGCAAGTCTCAAAAGGCTGAGATAAACTGATACAAAATCTAAGCTGAAACAATTACTATAGCAAGGATCAGTGTCAGTTATCTCACAAATTCATACAGTGTATGTCTTTACTTGGTAATATTTATGTCTAAATAATTGGAATTTTTTATTAATGTAATCTCATGTCTTGCTGCATTTGTTGTTCATAGCTCCAGTACTGTTTTACAGAGTACACTATTTACTAACTGAAGTTTTTACAGTTGTCTTAATGGACAAATATTTATTCTGTGTCAGTAAAAGCTGACATGTGAAATTTGAGTAAAAAATAGTATTTTTCTCCCTAAATGTTGTTCTTCTGTCCATAAAACTACTAAAATAAAATACAGTTCCAGTTTTGTTCCATGGGCTAACAAACATGGCAGTCCTGTTGCCCTGACTTGGACCTAGGCAAATAGAGTATTTGTCAAGGAAGAGGGGGAAGATAGATGCTCTTGTACATGATGGTAGGTGGATTATGGGAGAGTAAGCAAAATAGGTCTTGGTCATCTTGGAAGAGTGTACTTTTTATTTACGGGGAAAGACGGTGGTTTTCTTTTCTTCTCCCCTGCTGCCTGGTTGGTACTGGTTGGTCTATAAGAACTTTCTGGGTATTTATATAAGAGGTAAACAAACGTTGAGGCTTTTCCTGATTAAGATTCTGATTATTTTCATGTTTTGCAAATATGTACAAACATTGGATGTGGAAGACACCCATTCAAGTTTATTCAAATTCTGATTTTGCATGGGCTTGCATATATTGGCATGATATGTATTTTGATTACAGCTGAAGAGAGTGCTACTGTACAGTCCCTTAGGTGTCTTATAAGGCTGTTATCATGACAGAGGGCTATCTGCAGCTCCAGTCTGCCTCCATTCATGGATCTGTAGCATTTCAGGCAAGCTGCTGTGGCGGTGTTTTCCAAAGCCTCCAGGGCAGTGACTTTTGCTCTTTCTTGTGCTGTTACTGTCATAGCCTTACTGCTGAAAACCCTCATATTCTTGTGATGGTGTGTTCTTGTGGGGTGTGGTCACCAGTGGTGGGAGAATCACCTCTCCTCTCTCCCCTCTTCTTCCCCTTCAGTTGCAGCTTTTGGGTTAAATTAGGGGAAGCAAGCTAAGCAGCAGTCAGCATGCAGCACCAACCCCGACCCAAGTGTGCTTCAATCAGTGCTGATGGTATTATAAGTGGAAACATGCAATAGAGAGTTTGAGAGGCTCCGATGAAAAACAGCGTAGTTATATGGGAAAACTGAATGGCAGGACCCTCCTCTCCCTTCTGTTCCCTAAAGGCTGTTGCGGAAGCATTCCCTTTCCTTCTGCCTCTTCCTCTGCATGTCATGGATTTTTATCTCTGGTTGGGATCGTAGAGCCTGGTGAGAATCTGAAGAGGCAGTATGACAGTGCGATGGTAGACTAGCTGTGCTGTTGACAGATTGGCCCATTTTGGTTCAACAAGCTGTTGAATTTGCCTCAATCTGAAGAAAAGCTACTTTCCTTTCTATATATATATATATATATACACACCATTTACAATTCTGATGTGAATTTTTTAAGTAGTAAGTATGAATGAATCTTAAAAATATGTACTAAAACTTCACTGGGGTTTGTGTTAGAAAAAGAGTGGACTGAGCTTGGTGCTTTTGTCAGAAAATTCATGACAATGAGATAGAAGTACTTGACAAGGGATATCTTGTCTCCTTATCCCTGGAAAAATTGCCAGTTCAGATTTCAGTTTATACTTTTAGGGAAAAGAAACAACATCAGCATGAGGGTCCCTTTTTCTCTGTGGGAGACCTCCCAACAGATATAGGTCTTTTGGGTATATTATTTGGGAAAGTCTAGAAGACTCAATTGCCGGTAAGTGTTTCACCATCTTTTAGGAAGGCCTGCCTTCTGTGCCCATTGACAAGGCGTATTTTAATTGTTTTCTTATTTGCTTTATGATTTTTAGCCCTTAGTGTTTCTAATTATATTTTCTTCTCAGTTGCACAATGCATTGCATTTTCATCATAACTGCAGGGAATTAAAATCTTGCTCGTGATTATGTGTTTGAATTGAAAGTGATTCTTGTGGAGTCCCAACACGTGTATGAGTCAGGCTACTGTGTATGGGAGCAATGGCATTACAGATCATTCATTTTTAGTGAAGATGTCATTTGATATATAAAGTCTGTAAAATTAAAACTGACCTCATGTCAATTTTTGAAACATTTCAAAACCCTTAAGAGTAGCATCTCAGACACCTGTTTTCTGCTGAGTTCAAGCCTCTAAACTGAAAAGCTATTCTGTAAAAATAGCTAAGTTGTGTATCATGCCCGCAGGGTCAACAGAAAAGATTCTACCATTAAAAAGGTATTGTGCACTACTTAGTTGAAAGAATATATCCTCAACTAAGTATGTAATGTTTTACCAATCAACTCCCGTGAGTGCAGATGGGAATTACAAAGGCTAATACTTGCACATGAGGTTGACAGTTAACATTTATATAATTCTGACCTAAAATATGAATTCATAGCTTTTAATTACATGGTATGGGAATATAACTTTGGGACTTGAAAAAAAAACACAAGAAAAAAATAGAAGGAAAAACCAACACTGTTATCAAGAGAATAAGGAGTTTGGCCAGGGGAGGAGAGTGAGAGTGTACTTTTGTTTACTTAGAAACCTCAATGATTTTAAGAAAAGCTTGCTTTTAAAACTTGTCCGTGTGAAAGAAGGTATGTTACTATAACAAAATTATTTCCTTAAGTTTTTTCTTGCATCTTATTGAGAAATCAATGTGGATGTAGCTATGCATTAGTGGGTGTTTGTGTAAAATCTGTGTAACCTTCTGCTGATGAGTTTAATCGTGTTCAGTCATTCAGATTGATAAAGAGTCTTGTATTGTCTCTATTCTTCTCTTCCCCCAGAACAGAAAGCTGTACTTAATTTGGCATACCTTTCTATTTAGAAATACACAAAGTGTAGATTTTTGACGCTGTAGGTTCCCTTTTAATGAAAGTAAGAACATTTTGCTTTTTTAATCCATACACCTATACCAGATCAAAGAGTGCTGATCTCTGGCCTGCTGGGATCAGGACGATGCGCTGAAGTGTACCAAAGCCACTCGGGTTTGCTGAAGGGGGAGCATTGCCAAGAGCAAACACTGCCATCCTGTATGCAAGCTCCCAATTTATTACAAAGGATTACATAACCTCAGTTTTGCTTTTACATTCTGCTGACCTTCAGGTTTTGTCTGTTTTCCACTACATGGTGTTTTGAACCTGCTGTTTCTCACGCTTGCAGTAGGGCTTTCCACAATGTTGCCTCATTTGTCCACAATCATTCTCTAACCTGAAGGTCAGTTTACATTTTTGCCAACAACCAGTTCTTTATTCCCACAAAAGAGGAGTAGTTTTCTATCCCTTTCTTTCTGTTTGTTAATGCCAAAGATTTCCCTATACAGAATAAATGCTTTTACATTTTAAAATGAAATTTTCATGTGTAAGTTAATATGAAGAAGCAAGTTTGTAATTTTTATAATTATGTTAAGAAAAATATTTTGGTTTTTTTCTATGTTAAGACCAAAACAAAAAGCTGATGGAAGAGAACGAAGACCTGAAGTTACGCTACCTGGAACAAAAGCAACAACTAGAGGAACTGAAAAGTCAAGTGAAGCTTTTAACCAAGGTGAACTCTATTTCTGTTTAGAATATGAGCAAAAAAACCCCACTCTATGTTTTATGCATAGTGTGAATACTTCTTTAAAGTAGAGAATACAGAAATATAACTGTTTGTTTATTCATAATATCAAGCAAAATGCCATGTCTAGTGAGAATGCATCTTGGTATTCTGAATGTATTTCTTCGATACTCATTCATATCTGATAACACCTTTTCATTAAGTATTTCTGTTTCAGGAAGGTGATACTGATGTGGCAAAACTCAGTGAAGCCCTTCTGCTTACAAAGGTAACTTAAAAAGAATGAGCATTGTAGAAGCTGGGAACTAGATAATATGATTTGGGTCCTTTCCAACCCAAACCACTCTATGATTTTATATATTTTGCCTTTATTGTATTTTGTTTTTTTTTTTCTAACTAAGAAGACATCAACTAAACGCTTGGTTGACCATTACATGTTTAATACACAATGCCTGGGATTTTTGAGAGCTGAATTATTTGTGTATCTTTTAGTAGTTAATGCTTCGATCTCATGTGTGCTTTTGTCATTCTTGAGTTACAGTGAAGCAGAAGGGAAGAGGAAGAAATTTTCAGGATGAAATCTAGAGTTATGCAGATAGTTCCTTATAACATCAACAGTGAATTAAACCAGATTCACAAGCATTTTTTAAAAAAAACTGTTTTTTCATTAAATGACTTAGGACACCATCTTGTTCTTCCTATAATGTTTATTAAAAATATTTTTGTTTGTTAATTCTGTAAGCATACTATAAGCATGGAAGTTTTAAAATGTGATACAGTGATGCTTAACAACTTCTCTTCATCTATTAAAACAGAAAAACAAAATCTCAGAAAATGTTCTATTTTTTTCTCTTGCACATAAGTTGTAATTTTATTGTTTACGATGAAAATGAAGTGGGGGGGGGGGAAGAAATAAGTTAAAAAATACATTTTCATTCATTTTACACTATTCCAGTGACTTACCTTTTATTTGCTTGAGGAGGTGTTTACTGTAAATAGAATCATCTTCTGCTACTGAAATGCAAGTGATAATTCTATAATGATAATGAAAAAAAAAGAAAATACACAAAACAACCCAAAAAGACTAGGTGAAATTATTATTATTATACCCAGTATTAATAACAGAAGCAATGTAGAATTGAGAATAATAATTCAGGTTTTGTACATTCACTGAAGCAGGATTATTAATTATATAAAATTACCTCATTCCTATTTTTTGTGTTAGCACATGCTCAAAATTTACAAAATTATGCTTTAAACTTTTCCATTCCTTTCAAAGGGGCAGTTGACAGACCAAAGCTCAGTTACCTCTGAAGGTCAGACAAAAGTAGCTGAAGAATTGGAAACAGCAGGTAGAATTCATTTTTATGAATAAGTGACTGTACCTTCTTAAGAAATCTATGTCTCTTTCCATTTGCTTAAGCATTTCTTACTAGCAGTGGGAGCTGCCTCATTATGAGAAGCTTCGTGACAGAAATTATATTCTGGTGTACTTTATAGCTGAAGCTAGGTGGTGGATATGTTGGTGTTACTTTCTTCCCAAATGGAAACTGTATTGTAATTGAATGCAAAAATCTGATATCTGACCTAGATTCATAAAATATTAAAGGAAACCTAGCTTCTATTTTAAATGTCTTTATATTCTCCTTTAGAACGGTGCTGTTCTAAAGACTATTTTAATGAATATGCTCCTTTTGTCTGCAGATAGCAGCCAATGCTGATACCGGAAATCCTTTCAGACAGTGAGAGGGGTAGTATGTCTTATCACATCTGTGACATAAAGTTGTTACAGGCAGATTTATTTAAAGATTATAAAAGCCAGGTTATCCTGTTCCACCTCTGAGCTTAAGCTGTTTATCATTGAAATAATCCAAGTCCACAATACTAAGTTTAAAGTAAAAGCACAAGCAGAATGCTAAAATTTTATGTTCAGTTATTTGCAGCTTCTGCATAAGAATTCATTAGAAAAATTAGGAAAACATGATCTTGAAACCCTGTTGTGTTTATAAGTAATTTGCTACAGAGGAAAAAGACCTGAATGCTTCAGAAAATAATCCACCTGCAAGCAGAACTACTTTTTTCTTTTTTTTTAAAAGGAAAAAAAAATAAGTACATTCTTGTTTAGTTGTGCATGGTGTTAAACATAGTCACAGGAAATCTGCAAATTCAGGCCATATTCTTACATAAAGCTGACTGTTCTTCCTGCTTCAGTTCATCACAGGACTTATATCATTCGACTCATCAATTTGCATCAACTGGGAAACATTACTATTTTTCTAGCAAATCAGAAAAAAGTACTGCTTAGACGACTTCAAAGGTCATTGGTTTACCCTTGTTAATCTTCTGCAAGGAAGAGAAGATTTACCTGGCACTTGTACTTGATTTATTAGAAAAGCAAATATATTGCTATCAGGTTTCTCAGCAAGTCTCAAATGGGACTACAAATAACAGGGGTTTTTAACTACTTTTTTTTTTTTTTTTTTTTTGCAGAACTAGATGATGAACAAAAAAATTATGACATTGAATCAATAACAACTGACAGTGTTGACTGTATTATTACAAGCCCAATACTCAAATTAAAGGTGAGTCAGAGTATTCATGCCAGTTGTTTGGTAAGTCTAAGAAAAATATTTTAAGTCTAATGTTCTCTAAGAGTAGCTTTGCTACATCTAAGGTCAGAACCTAAGGCATTTTCAGCTAATGTATGTTTCCCCATTTTCTGTTCAAATAGACACCTTTTCACAGAAAAAAATAAAATTTAACCTGACTGTATTGTACATGTGATTTATAGGAGCTTTTTTAATGGGAAAAATCTATTGTCGTCTTTTCCATTATTGTCATACACACTTAGGAATAGACATTTCTAATTAGTTTAAATCTGAAATCAAATTTTAGTCCTGCACAAAATCTCCCCAACGAAAGATAACTATTGTAATGTGAATGTTGAAACAACTTAGTCGTGTTGTTCAGTCCTTCTTGTTCCCTTTTTGTGGGGAAATGTGCTTTTCTGGTTCTTCCAGTACTTTCTGAGGAAGGGGAGGATAAGTTCACTTTTCAAGGCCTGTAGTAAATTTACAATGCTTAGCTACCCATGTTTCATCCCAGTACGTTGACTGGATCGAATGTTGTTGAAACAGCAATTGCATAAGTTTGAGGTTGTTAATAACATGCAAAACTTACATATATTTTTCTAGTTGATCCACATAGATTTCTTTTTGTTCCTGACATCCCAACAGTTTTAGAACTGAGAATCAGTTTTCAGTGAAGTCTGTACATGTGCAGTATCCAATCACTTCACTGTACTTGTTTTCTGTTGTTATTTGCAGGCATGTACAGTGATGACATTCTCTTCACTGGTTCTTAAAACCAGCAATTAACGAGCATAAAATCATATCTACAAAATAACACAGCATAATACAAATTTGGAAAATTTACTTGAAAAAGTATTTCAGTAGTATAGTTCTCTAAAAAAAAAAAAGGATTCCGTTCCTTTAGATCTAACATTGACTGAGCAATCTTAAAAGATATAAAACCAGCACTTAAAATTGATTATAATACTACTAACAGGTAATACTTGCCTGGTCTGTTTAGCCTTCTTTTAAAGGACCAGGGTTGTACTGTTATGTCCTATCAGTCTTAACTTTTTTAATGTTCTGCAATGTGATAACCTAGAGCTAGTTTGATTCTTTTTTTTTATCCTTTTTTCAATGCTATGTGACATCTTACAAAGTAACTAGCAACAAGAGGCAATGCTTCGTATGAGAAATATTGCTCCTTTCCTTTTTTTTTGAGTTGTAGAAAGGTTTTAGAAATGCTGTCAGTTGCATATGCTGCAGAAAGATACAGAAGGTACTTTGGCAGACAGATTGCATTGTTTAGATGTAAAATGTTAAAAAATTGTTTCGCTTGTAATTGTAAGAACTAAAATTACTGTTACTCATCACCATTAAGTCAAACTATAATGCGGTTATCGGTACATTTCTACTCATCCTATATTTTATCAAAATTATTTAAGAACACTTCTGAGAGGATTTTGAGTGTAGATTCATTTCAAGTTCATTAATTTCTACCTTTCTCCATTAATTTGTTCCTCTGGTAGCAACGTGCCTGTTCAAGAAGGGTGGATAAGACAACAAAAGCTATAAACTGCTAAGACAACATGTTTGATACAAATTGGGTTTTAAAAATAGGCATTGGTACATTTGAAATCTTGGGTTAATTATAGAATACAGCATATGAAAATTGTGATTGAATTTGGGGTGTTTTTAAGATTAAAAATCAGTGCCTTTTATCTTTTGAGATAAATATCCTGCTGGTAATCAAACACTGTAAATAAGATTTGTGATTTTTAGAGATCGTTATGCTAATTATTCTATAAATCTGAGTTGTATGCCAAACTGTTTAAGTCATTTAGGATCATACTGTTTCTTTTTTGCATGTTGCAAATTAGACAGTCCATGGTTGTTTCTTAGATATGTTGATCATAAAGGGTATCTAACAGATTTTCCAGTACTTAGCTGTACCACTTGCTTCTTTCTCTGTTCTTCTTGTCTATGATGTATAATTAATCATAGATTACTTCATTTTGTTTCATTTCATTTACAACATTTATGAGCTTCACTTTGTCGGTATGAAATGCTTGTCCCCTTCTTTCCTTTCCAAAGTGGCGTAATTAGTGTTAGCATCTTTTTTAACAGGCTACATAAAGTTTAGTGGCTGGATTAAATCAAGTCATTAACATAATGTGCTATACAATTTGCCCCTATCTCTTTTCGTTTCCAGTACATCAAAGTGCCACAGAGTGCCAGTGTAATTGGGCCTTGCTAGCTTGTCAGGTTCAGTCAGGCTGACGGCTGCTGCTTTTACTAAAAAGCTTCCAGGCATGATAATTAATAGAGAAAAGAAGTCTGCGAAATGTAAAAGTTTGGACAGTTCTCTATGAATATTTCATACATTTGAATAATCAGAAGTTAACATTATCAATTTGATGTATAATACATTGATTAAAAGCCTTGTTTCAGATCCTCAAAATAGACATCAAAACTGAGAATTTGCATTTTCTTTGGCATGGTCTTTATATTGAAAAAAAAAAATCTTTTCTCTTCCATTCTCTCCTCCCTTTCACTCACATGTCTACACTTTATCCTTGCAGGAGATAATATAGCATTCCATTATCACAATAAAATTTACTCATGTCAGCTTCCAGGTTGTCTTAAAATGTGCCCATAAGGCAATTACTGGCAAAACCAATTTATTTGGTGGCGGTCC